TGAATATGATATTACTAATTTATTTAAAATATAAAAGGATCGCTAATTGACTAATATTATACCATTATATATTTTCACCGAGTCACCCATCCTGATCAATTGAAGGTGTTAGCTCTAGACGATGATGGACAAGATTGTGTTGCTACTACCAATGTCGTCTACAAAGAGGTTTCAATAATGTGTAAATAAAATCGTTGATATTATATTTTTTAAATGACAAAATTGCTATATGTATAGATAAAAAAAATATCCTCCATACAAATGAATTAAGATAACAATTCATTCATATAACTGAGTTGCTAGAAAACGAACACATTTGTATAATTTATAAAAAAAAAAAAATACTAAACAATGATACAAAAAATCTCCAAAGTTATAACACTACATGCATACATCTACACATTAGCTATTAATTTGAGCAATTATTTGCTTAAATTCATACAATGATAATATAAAAACACATAAATGATACAACCCGTATATTCAATTGAACTATATAATATTTGATGTTCTAATTCAAATAATTATATATCGATCCAAATATTCTTAATATATTACAACAAATTTATTCCATGCATCGCACGTGCGCAAATACTAGTGTAAGTAATATAGTAATAATATAAAACAAAGGATAAAATCGATTTTGATATAATGATCTGCGGAGACTCGGAAAGAAATATATATAGGCCTTTCAATTGGCCATATATGTACACTAAGCTACTTGTCGTAACGTATCGGACCACTTTCAATTGACATCTGTACGTTGCATCATTTTCAACCTACTTATGGGATGTTATTAATTACGTATTTGGACATTATCAAACAACAACACTGTAGCTACCTAGGATAATGCAAATAAAACTCCTTCATATTTAGAGTTGTGATTACATTATGAATAATAAGCACAATCCTACTAGACTCATAAGTTGCTTTGTATTAGGTCTCTAATAATAATAATAATAATAATAATAATAATAATAATAATAATGTCTTATTCTAAATAATAATAATAATTAAGTCTTTAATATAGTGTAAATATATTTTAACTAAGTCTTAAGTAAATTAAGGAGTTTTATTTAAAAATAAATAAAATAAAAGAAGAAGAGTTTGAATAACAATAGATAACTAAGAACAATTGGTTACCTACATTGGAGGAATGTGGTTATAAGAGTTCCTGAGTCCTCTCGCTACTCAGTTAACGACTCACACATCATTTAGAATACATTAGGATTTCCGATCAACGTTAGTGATCGAAGTGTGACCACCAGGGCCTGTCATGGATGCTGTTTCGTGGATATCAACAATCCTTGGCATTGCAACATTGTTGTTTGCTTGGTTTTCATGGCGAAAACAGGGCAAGAAATTGCCACCGGAGGCCGGTGGCGCGTGGCCTATCATCGGCCACCTCCACCTCTTCCGAACCTCGACTCCCTTGGTTAAGACCTTGAGCGAGTGGGCGGATAAATATGGTTCGGTGTTCACCATCCGCCTCGGCATATCCCGGATCCTGGTGGTTAGTAACTGGGAAGGCGTTAGGGATTGCTTCACTACCAACGACAAGCACATGGCTGCACGCCCAACTACATGTGCAGGTACGATAATAATACAATCAAATTCTACAAACTTAGGTTTATTCATAATGTTACATACATTGGATCAAAAATTGCTTGAATGTTTTTTGGAGGTGATCAATTATTGTTACTTTTGAAAGCTGATTGATTTCATATGTTGTTTGTAAATCATACAATAGATATGTTGTCAATATTTTTTTAAAAAAAATTACATCTGATCTGTTAAATCTAGACAGATAAACATCTGAATGTTACGATTGGCAGGTAAATACCTTGGATATGATTATGCGGTGTTTACATTCTCAACAAACAATTCATATTGGCGAAACGTACGAAAATTGGTGGTGGTGGAGTTACTCTCCAGCAGAAGAATGGAGAAATTGAAACATGTTTGGGTGTCGGAGCTGCAAGCCAACATCAATGAATTCTACACGACTATTGCCATGGATAACGACAAGAACAACAACAATCCCTCGGCTCCGAAGGTGAACATGAGCAGATGGTTCGGACATTTAACGTTGAATTTGATAATGCAGATAGTGGCCGGCAGGAGGTACGAATACCGGAGTGACGGGGTGGTCAGCGAGGAGGCACAGCGTCTGAAGAAGGTGTTCAGTCAAGTTATGTATCTGTGGGGTGAGTTTGTCTCCGGGGATGCCATATTTCCACTCTGGTTTTTCAGGTGGTTGGACTATGAAGGCCATGTCAAGTCCATGAAAAGAGCTGCAAAGGATGTGGATGCCATCTTGCAAGATTGGGTGGATGTTAGGAGGAAGGAGAGGAGAAGTAACGAAGATCAAAAGTTTATCGATGTCATGCTTTCGATGATTGATGATCAATTTACCAAAGGTTACCATTACTCCCGCGATACAGTAATTAAAGCAATTGTGTTGGTATGTTCTTGGCTTGTTTAAATTGTTTAGGGTTGCGAATGTTGGATTTTATCTTAATTTTTCTTTGTTATTTTTGTTTTATCGCACAGAGTATGTTACAAGATGCTAGTGAAACGTTTTCGCAGCACTTGACATGGATATTAGCTGTATTGTTAAAAAATCCAGAATGTTTGAAGCGTGTTCAAGAGGAGATAGACACCAACATTGGCAAAGAAAGGTGGGCAGAGGAGTCTGATACTAAGAATTTACCATACCTTCAAGCTGTAGTCAAAGAAACACTGCGAATATACCCACCAGGACCATACCTAGCTCCACATGAAGCGGTGAATGATTGTGTAGTAGATGGCTATCACATCAAAAAGGGCACACAACTATACGTCAATGTGTGGAGATTGCATCGCGATCCTAAAATCTGGTCTGACCCAGAAAAGTTTTTACCAGAAAGGTTCATGACACCTTTGGAAGGGGAAGCTGCCCAAAACAGACAATATCAGTTTGTCCCATTTGGTCTTGGACGACGATCATGTCCTGGAAATTTATATGCAACACAAATTACACATGTTGCAGTTGCTCGACTATTCCAAGGCTTTAATTTCAGTACAGTTCCAAATGAGCCATTGGACATGACCGAAGGCGGAGGCATTACCTTGCCTAAATTAACTCCCTTGGAAGTACTTGTTACACCGCGTTTACCCTCGACTATGTTTGGATTATAAGCATATATATGCTTAATGGGCAGGTATTTTTTTTTTAATTTTCTATGTGGTCAAATAAGAGTCTTTAGTATATGCATGGTCTATACATGCATATAGAATAAACGAATGGAATTCTGATTCCCATATGCTCTATGTTTCTTTTTAAAAGTACACTGTCAACATTTTAAATGTGTTATCTAAAGTTTCAATTTTTGAAGATGTTTGCCAATTATATATTATTTGTCAAAGGAATGGAATAAATATCTATTCAAACAATCATACTCATTCCAGGAATATTATCCAACTTTTATGTTTTCACTAATCTTCTCATCTCATCCAATTCACTTGTGAAACTGTTAATAACCAATCAATATTGTGACTATATATATTCTAACCAATAATCGAACATTAAAAAAGAATTATAGAACAAGTGTCCGCATAGCAATTGAATGTATGTTTATGATTAACTCGACAATTTTGTACTCCCATTCTAGTTTGAATTGGATACTCCCAAGTTCTTGTTGTTGACCTTCATTTGGAGTGAAGGAGGAAAAATTTTCATACTCAAGAAAACGAAGCACAAATGAACGAAATGCAACTAAGGAAATCGAATTGTAAGGTCTTCAAAATTAATCGGATCAAAACGAAGCTTGACCTACTCAAGAAAATCATCCCAAAAATGCAATAACCCATTAATTTTCATCCAATAAAACCATTCTAAGGAATCACCATGAACCACAAATGAAACACGAGAAAGACGTTCACGAGACACATTATAATATATTCAAAAAATTCTTGTGTTTGGAAATTTTGGAAGATCAATCTTCCAAAATAATTGATGCCCAGAAACAAGGGGATCAAACTGCTCAAATCCCATTGATGGTGAAATAGTACTAGAGTGGGAAATGGACATGGCTAGGGTGATTTGTGTAGTGTGGGAAATCCCATTGATGGTGAAATACTACTAGTGGGAAATCCCATTGATGGTGAAATACTACTAGTGGGAAATCCCATTGATGGTGAAATAGTACTAGAGTGGGAAATGATCCTTTTTTTTTTTTCACTTTTTTTCACAGTTTTTTTTTTTTTTTTTTTGGCTAGTGTTTGGGTTGATATATGATGGACAAAATGGATAAAAAGAATGAAAGAAATGCAAATATTTGTGGGTTTTTTGGTGGTTTTTTTTTTTTAAAAAAATTTTGGGGATTTAAAAATAAAAGATTGGGAATACTTTCATGGATCTCTCAATGAAAGCTCTAATTGTTATGACCCTTGATAGGAACGTAACAAATAATAAACCTAATAATAAACCTTTCGAGTATGTGAGTGGACAAACTTCAATTTCATACTTCAAGCGTGTGAGGGCTCCAAGAAAAATATAAGAATAACATGAACATGAACAATATATTTCTCTATCTGGTTCCCATATATAATACATATATACAATGTACCTTTTTTTTTTTTAGTACAGTGGACCTATTTATATTATATTACTAAAACATACAATAATTACGCTACTATACATGGTAATGATATATATATATATTCTAATTAATATACATATTTAGTCAATTATCCTCTAATTACATATGATTCATTCCTTATATACTCCCTACTAATTAAACAACCAATTATTTCTTTCCGTTTATGCGTATCATATAGCTTAGGAGTTGAACAACAATGTTTTAATGTTTAACGTTTTATTTTTTGCCTTGGTAGTTTATGATGGCCAAACCATTTTTATAATTTTATATTTTGTTCTAGTATTTCAGTTCTTGTCAAATTCTTGAGGGAATCACAAGCATCGTCATACAAATTTAAGAAGCTAATCGCCTAATCCACATGAGAAAATATTGCATGTTTCAATAACAGGATAAGTAATGTTATTCTTACAAAGGCCACTTAAAATCTAGGACAAAGACTTCAACTCCATAATAACACAACTATCAAACGATTATTGTTGAAAATTAAACCTAAATTATTACCCCATAACAAGTAAAATAAAATATAATACATCATTAAGTAACAGGAATATATGATCTATCCATAGAGAGCAGATGGCAAGCGAGGCGTAATGACTACTTCCAATGGCTTTGCTCTTGGCATTGTAATGCCTATTCCTTCACTCATATCCAATGCCTCATTTGAAGGTGTGTTGAAATCGAAGCCTTGAACCAGACGAGCAACTGCAAGATGTGTTATCTGTGTTGCATATAACATCCCGGGACATGATCGTCGCCCAAAACCAAATGGAATATATTGAAACTGTCGATTACCGATGCCTTCTGCGTTTGTCAGGAACCTTTCTGGTAAGAACTTTTCGGGGTCCGGCCAGATTTGAGGATCGCGGTGTAGCTTCCACACGTTCACATACAACTGTGTGCCCTTTGGAATGTGGTAGCCCTCTATGGTACAATCTTCCACGGCTTCGTGTGGTACTAAGAAAGGTGCTGGTGGGTATATTCGTAATGTTTCTTTGACTACAGCTTGGAGGTATGGTAAGTTTTTAATGTCAGAATCTTCGACCCACCTTTCACTGCCGACATGGGCTTCTATCTCTTCTTGAACGCGCTCTAGTGCTTCTCTATTTTTCATCAACGAAGATAGGACCCATGCGAAGTGGACAGAAAACGTTTCACTACCATCTTGTAACATACTCTATAGAATAAGATAACAACAAAAAAACATTAATTAAGTCACATGATTGAGTTTCCAACAAAAAAAAAAAAAAAAAAAAAAAACTCAAAATGGAAAACATACCAACACTGTTGCCTTGATAATTGTGTCACGCGTATAAGCTTGACCTTCCATAAACTGATCGTCAATCATCGAGAGCATAACATCGATAAACCCTTGATCTTCATTATTATTCCTATTCTCCCTCTTCCTAGCATCAACCCAATCTTGCAAAATGGCATCCAAGGCCTTTGCAACTCTCTTCATGGACTTGACATGGCCTTCATAGTCCAACCACCTAAACAACCAAAGTGGAAAAATTGCATCCCCTGAAACAACTTCTCCCCACAAGTACATAACCTCTTTGAACACCTTTTTCAGACATTCTGCCTCTTCGTCTACCACTCCATCACTCCTGTACTCGTACCTCCTTCCTGCCACTACCTTAACTATCAAGTTTAAGGTTAAATGCTCAAACCATTGGCTCATGTTTAGTTTATTTTTATTGGAGGGATGATTAATGTAGAGTTCTTTGATGTTAGCCTCCAGCTCTGTCACCCAAACATGTTTTAATTTCTCCAATCTTCTACTCGACAGCAGTTCCACCACGGTTAACTTTCTTATCTTCCGCCAGTATGAATTATAAGTTGAGAAACTAAATACTGCATAATCATACCCAAGGTATTTGCCTGCCAATTTTAATAAGTCGAGATGAAACAATTAGGTTGTGTTTAGTTCAAACATTGAAATCAGAATGGTAAATTCGTTTATTTTTTTTTAATATTATTGACTCTATTACAATGTAGTATCTGTTCATAACTACTTTCTCAACCTAATAAAGCACAAAGAGTCAATATTGACTCAGCTCATCAAATCCACAACCTCCTAAGGGAGCAACTTAGTGTCATTGGACCACAAGGTCCTTTGGCAAATCAGAATGCATGGTAATGAGAATTAAATACTTGTTAATTGGTAATGGTTTAAATAGAATAGATCAGTTTGTTTAGTAATAAATAGGAATTAGAATCAAAATAAATAATAAATAATAATAATTAATTAATTAAAATAAAATAAATAACATAATTGTAATAGGCGCTAAACGCTAGTCGGGCGGTACAGTAGTGCATAGACGACTAACTAAAAAAAACAGTGCACGTGTGTGGGTGTATGTCATATTATACACCCACACACGCTCACACACACACACCCACATGGGCAGCTCAAATGGTCATAGGGGTGAAGTTTGGGATTGAGTGTCACTAGTGACAATGTGGGAGCAACATTGCTTATCCTAGAAGGATAATGAATTTTTTTATGTAATGAGTTTCGTAATTACTAAATGATTTGATTCAAATAATATGATATCAAAAATAGATAAATAAACATAATAATAAGTATCATACCTATAATAGGGTGCAAAAGTCTTCAATCAAACACCACCATAGATTTTACAAATTGAAACCATTTTAAAACCAGGAAATTATTATATATAGGACACCATAAAAATTCCTCTTATTCAATAAATTGAGAGGTTTTTACAATTTTTAACTATCTTTAGTTCAAATTAGAGAGATCCATACATGGAGCTTTAATATTATGATTGAACTTTTTTCTTTTGAAAAGTGAATATAATAAATATATTTAGAATAATACAAATTAATAATCTTATTGCATTTACTTCTTCTAATTTCATGGTCACAAATAAATCACTATCACACCATCACAATCAAGTGGGATCACAAGTCAAGAATTTTCTCAATTTATATATCATAATATTCAACGCCATTTTGCATGTGAGTTTTTTATTTGAAAAATAAAATCAACTTTTATACAATTTTTTTTTAAAATAATTTTTAAATTTTATACTGTACTGTTTAAATTATTGTTATAATAAATCTTCAATTTCTTTCACAAAGGGGCAAATTAAAAGTAAATAAAAGGAATTATTATTGTATTTACCTGCACAGGTAGTTGGCCTTGTAGCCAAGAGCTTGTCGTTGATGCTGAAACAATCCTTGACGGCTTCCCAACTGCTAACCACCAAGGCGCGTGGCATGCCGAGGCGGATGATGAACACCGGCCCGTATTTATCGGCCAACGCGCTCAGAGTCTTAACCAGGGGAACAGGAGCTCGTAGGAGGTGAAGGTGGCCGACGATTGGCCAAGCACCACCGGCCTCCGGCGCCGATCTGCTGCTCTTTCTTCGCCCTCGCCATGAAAGGCCGACCAGCAACAGAGCGGCAAGGGCAAAAATGGATGAGAAATATGGAAAAATATCCATGACTCCACACTCAATCACTTTAATTTTCTGGTCCTATAGTATGAGCTACCTACTGGACCTTATTATCAATATATAGAGGAGAAATAGCCAATCAGCAAATGCACCAATTTTTATACCATCAATCAGAGTCCACCTTAATTTTGGAATGTAATTATGGTATTATGTAAATATAATATGATAACTGTAATCATGGAGATTTTATCCATTAGAAGTCATTAACGTAAAAAGGAAAAAAAAATTGCACTAAATTGATAACCATTATAATTATTAACATAAAAGGAAAAAAGAATTACATTAAATTGATAACCATTCTTTAATTTTCTGGTCCTATAGTATGAGCTATCTACTGGCACCGTTATACCGTGCACCAGTTGTTATATTATAGACCGCGGTGCATAATCGATTATGCACCGCGGCCCATATACGGCGCCGTTTCTTTAAGTAAAGAAACGGCCCGCCGTTAGAGTTAACGGAGTCCGTTTGTTTGGTGTATTAAACACCAACTGACACTACATTATATCCAAACCGACACTGCAGTTATATCAAAATGATACTATAGTTATAGTGAAATGAAACTGCAGTGTATATAAACTGAAACTGAATAACATTTCACATATTTGAGTGTATATTGTACAATGAAGCTGTAATTATATCAAAATGATCATGTAGTTGTGTTTTAATAAAACTATAGTGTATATAAAATAAAATTAAATAACATTTTCACATATTTGAGTCTATAAAATATCGAATGAAACTATAGTTATATCGAAATGAAACTGTAGTTGTGTTCAACTGAAACTGCAGTGTATACAAAATGACACTGAATAACAGAATTACTTTTTGTAAAAGGGTGCGAAACGGCGGAAATAAACACTGTTAATTTTCATTTAAAAAAAAAAAGACGTGCGGTGCATAATCGATTATGCACCGCGGTGCATAATATAATTTGCCACCGTGCACCAGGGCGCACATAGCAATGTGCACCCCGCGCCTCCCAAAACGATATCGTTTTGTTAAGTTGTGTGGGGAATTAACTCGACGAAAATATATGTATATTCAGTTATAAAATTCTGTGCTTTCAGATATAAAGTTCTGTGTTTTTAGGTATAAAATTCTGTACATTCGAAACAGTAGATTTTAAAAAAAAAAAAAAAATTATGTGTTTTCAAGTATAAAATTATGTGTTTTCTATTATATAATTCTATACATTCGAAACATGGGGATTTTCAGTTATAAAAGTTCTGTGTTTTCAGATATAAAATTATGTGTTTTCTATTATACAATTCTGTACATTCGAAACATGATTTTTTTTTTAAGGAGTTAACAGTAGACACACGAAAAAGGTACAAAACGACGTCGTTTTGGACCAAGATGCACAATGCACGGTATAATTTGCCCCCTACTGGACCTTATCAATATATCAATATATATGAGAAATAGCCAATCAGTAAATGCGCCAATTTTATACAATCAACTAGAGTCTACCTTGTATCGTAGATCTTGATGTTTAAAAAGTTTTGTGTCTATAATTAACATAACATATTACATGTGTTGTAACTATAGACACATAATATGTTAACTACACGCACATAATATATTATGTGCATATAATTAATATTTTATGTGTCTTTAATTTATTCACGAACAGATAATATGTTAAATGTGCATGTTGTCATTGTTGTGCGAAAGCCTATAAAGGAACAAAGTCCAACAATTATTAGCTATGGGGATTATTGGACGAAAGTCGATAAAGGACCAAGTTCAACATATTGTCTCTCGGAAATATAACAGTATAAAAAATCAAGTTATGGATTCACAATTTAGCAAATAATGTAAAGAAATAAATTTGCGCATCCACTCATACTTTATAAGGTAATGATAAACACTTATTCCTAATAATACATACATAATTTAAATACTCTGTATCATTTTGGATCAGAATCTACTATATATAAGTTGACTATGGTCCATGGCATAATTTGTCCAAATGCGCAAAGTAACATCTATAAATTGGATGAAAATGATGTGTCGCTTACTACTGACGCTTAAGCTACTAGGTGGAAGAAAGATATGTTGTAGACTTTCCGATATGGTCGAGGTGGCCTGACAATAAAGGATAAGCATCTACCCTTTAATAAAAAAAAAAAAAATTAATGTCTAAAAACTTGTGCGCACATACATCCTTCCACATACTTTGTCAAGTCGAGATGTGGGGACCTTTAGAGTTGAAGATTTAAGTCATGTTTGGTAAAATAGTTAGCCTATAGGTCAATTTTGACTTATTTGACCACTGTTTGTTATTTAATTTGGTTTAAAATCAATATAAATATTTGGTTAATTAATTTTTTATACTCCAAAATATTAAAATTCAAAAAGCTACTCAAAGCAATTTTTTCAATTAACTTTTTAAAAAATCAATTATACCAAATAGCTATCAGCTAATAGCTAATTAATCATGTAGTTTGATGACATTCTGGTTACACATCCATGTGAACGGTAAAAATTTGAACTTCGATAATATAACTTAAATTTTTGAATCATAAGTATTTCAAAAAAAAAAAATATGGATGTAACTTCTAAAAAAAAAAAACGCATTCATGAATTTCAGGGGCTGGATAAGAATATCAATGTGTGTAATTGTTGATAAAAGTATCAAAAATTGTGATGACTTTAACGTTTTTAGATCACTTTTCTCGGAAAAGTGCTCTAAAAACGGTAAAGTCATCGAAACCTGCTTTAATTTGGATGTTATTCATTTCTGTCGAGTCACCATTTGATAAGTGTTCACTGCATGCTTATTAAAATTTTAATAACATTTAAAAAAAAATGATTGCCTATTGCGTTGAAAACATAAACATATATACTCCGTAATAAATAATTCAGAGTGGTAGTTGGGTGCAGCGTGCTTTCAAGCGCTCATTTATTCCTGTTTCTTTTCTTTTTGAATTAATCCAGCGATAGTCCTCCGACTATATTGATTTTTTTATAATTAATCTCTAATTTTTAATTTGAACACTTTACGTTTCTTGGTTTTCAATTTCTTTTCAATTGAGGTTCTTTCATCATATTACTGTAAAGTGAACTTTAAATGAAAGGATAAAATAGTCATTTCATCTATCTAATGTATAATTTTTCGTATTTCTTCTTTGTATACGCGACTTCGGACATCAGATTCACTTAATTGCTTAATCCCTAATAAAATTTTGTTCTTCGAGTGGATTTAGGGATTAAGCAATTAAGTGAATCTGATGTCTGAAGTCGCGCATATAAGGGAGAAATACGAAGAGTTATACATTAGGCAAATAAAATGACTACTATACCCTTTCATTTAAAATTCGCGTTACCGTAATCTGACGAAAAGACTTCAATTGGAAATAAATTAAAAGTCAAGAGACGTAAAGTGTCCAAATTAAAAGTCGAGAACTAATTTTGAAAAATCAATATAGTCGGATGCTGGAATTAACTCTTTTCTTTCTTTCTTTTTTTACCAAAAAAAAAAAAACTCATTTACAGGAGAAAATAAAAATTTTTCTAAAAACTTACCTCCCACATGGGAAAGGTCATTACATGCCATCTTAGCACAAGGTATTTGGGTTTACCTTTAGTTTTTATGTCATATAAACTCTATCAAAATTCACTGTTAGAGATATTCTTAACTATTAACACATTGCATGTCTAAACTGACAAATAAAAATTCAGAGCTTAATCTCTTACTTGGTTAAATAAGTTCTGTTTGGGCTCAAAAAAAATGCAACTAGCACACAACTAGGTAAAATTTAGCAAATGAATCATCACCTAAAATGTCTAAGAAAACAATCTTTATTCTTGCAATTCTCTAACTTTTTAAAGTAAATCCTATTACCATATAATATATTTACAATTTAGTACTATTTTTTATACATTCACACATAATTCCAATTTATTCTCAAAATATAATAATAATAATAATAATAATAATAATAATAATAATAATAATAATAATAATAATAATAATAATAATAATAATAATTAAAGAATCAAATAGTCAACAAAAAGGGTGTGAGAAAGGACAAAGAGAACCGACTAAGTCTTTACTTGAAATTTGGTGTCAAAATTGCAAAGCATATTCTAAAATTATTCTTGCACCATGTTCTAATCATCAAACGTTTTAAATAGACTTAATTTCATTTTTGGTTTTAGATTTATAGGTGACAGTCCACTTTAAATCGTTTTTTATTAGAACATTCATTTTTGGTTATAGTGTTATTATGACATAGACCATTTTTTGTCTTTTATCAATAAAACAGTTTAAATATCTTCAACTATGAATATTTTCAAAAAATAAATATAAAAAATATAGAAGTTCAACTTACTTTGTATTAAAAAAAAAAAGATTGAAATGTCTTTGTATTTAACGATATTTCAACAATTTTGTGAATGAGTGATTAAAAATGATCATGCCACAATAATACTAGAACCAAATGACTGAACGGGATGTTTTAATAAAAAAATATTAAAAGTAAATTGTCACCTATAAATCGATGACTAAAAATGAAATTAACTTTTTTCAATATTTTTGAAGAGAAGACAGAGAAAGAAGGATATTTTTTTTCCCAAATTGTAATTTTTTTAGAGTTAATTCCAGCAATGGTCCTCCGACTATATTGATTTTCCAAAATTAGTCCTTGACTTTTAATTTGGACACTTTAGGTCCCTTGACTTTCAATTTCTTTCCAATTGAGGTCCTTTCGTTAGAATACGGTTAATTGAATTTTAAATGAAGGGGTAAACTCATCATTTCACCTGCCTATGTATTATTCTTAGTATTTCTCAATTGTATACGCGATATATATGAAGATAATCTTAGTCGAAACCCTAAAATGTTCCTCGTCGTTCCCCATTTGCTGACTACTCGTGTGTGCGTTCCTCTATTATTGAGATGTTTACAAGGTATAACAGCGAAATACGAAGGGAGAAATACGAAGAATAATACATAGGCAGGTGAAAGGACGAGTTTACCCCTTCATTTAAAGTCTAATGAACCGTATTCTAACGAAAGGACCTCAATTGGAA